CACCCTTATCTTGTTCCCAGTTTCCAGGGGAAAGCTCTCAGTTTTTCTTCCTTAAGTGTAATGGCTGTTGGCTTTTCATATATGAAAATTCCTGAAACATATTTAGGAATTTCCCTTCTATTCTAACCTTCTTTAGGGTTTTCATCAAGAAAGGGTATTTTGTCAAATGATTTTTCTGCATCTGTAGATATGATCATGTGATTCTTTTCCTTGCTCTATTGATATGGTGTATTACATTTATTGATTTTCTAATGTTGAACCATTCCTGCATTCCTGGAATAAATCCCACTTGGTCATGGTGTATGACTCTTTTAATATGCTGTTGGATTCTGTTTGCTAGTATGTTGTTGAAGATTTTTACATCTATATTCATAAGAGACATTGGCCTGTAGTTTTCTTTTCTTGTGGTGTCTTTGTCTGGTTTGGGTATCAGGGTAATGTTTGCTTCATAGAATGAAGTAGGGAATATTCCTTCCTTCTCTGTTTTTTTGGAAGAGTTTAAACAGTACTGGTGTCAATTCTTCTCTAAATGTTTGGTAGAATTCCTCAGTGAAACCATCTGGTCCAGATTTTTGTTGTTGTTGTTGTTGGAAGGTATTTGATCACTGATTCAATCTCTTTACTTTTTATGGGTCTGTCCAGACTTTCTATTTCCTCTTGAGTCAGTTTGAGTATGTTATGTGCTTCTAAGGCTTTATCCATTTCATCTAGGTTATCCAGTTTGTTGCCGTAACAGTTGTTCATAATATTCTGTCATAATTATCTTTATTTCTATCAGATCAGTTGTAATGCCCCCCTTTCATTTTTTATTTTGGTTATTTGCATCTTTTTTTTACTTTGTCAGTCTAGATAAAGGTTGTCAATTTTATTGATCTTTTCAAAGAGCAACTTCCGGTTTTATTGATTCTATTATTTTTCTGTTTTCAATTTTATTTATTTATGCTCTGATCTTTTTTATTTCCCTTCTTCTGGTGGGTTTAGGCTTCATTTTAGGTTTTTGGCCTTTAGAGAATATACAAAAATTGATTTCCATTTTAAATTCTTTTTCCTTAGCCAAAACATATCAACTTTTCCTCTGAGCTATTATACTCTGGGAGACCCAGCACCTGTGAGGTTAGGCTTTCCATCAGCCTCGGCTTTGGAGGAGCTCTTGAATGAACATCTAGGAGTTAATGTCCAAGTGAGTGTGAAATTGATTCTAATCAGAATAAAAATGAGATTTGGTGACCATATAGGCATTTACATAAACGGAATGCTCCATGAAATGTAGGCTGACCAGACCAAATGAGAGAATGTGTGTGCCATTTATTTCTATTTTATACTGGCAAGAATGGAGGCCTCTTAAAAATGATCCATGAGAGAGGTTGGGAGTATTAAACATGCTTGTGGATTTAACTAAGTTTCTGTGTTATGACTTGAACTGATATCCACTTGGTTTCTTCTAGAATCTTCACTATTTACACAAACTGGGAATATCTGAATAATTATTGACTCAATATACAAGTCTAGTCACAGAAATATTGTATATCTTTCAGCGGTTATCTAGCAAACAAAAGTAGCATTGTTGCCTTACCCTGGAGAGCAGATTACTTACTTTCTCGTAAAATAGAATTCTCCAGGTATAAAGATTAAGAAATAATAATCCTGAGGGTCAGAGTATATTACTTATCTTTAACTAATTAATTATGTGTCATGGATTGAATTATGTCCCCCCAAAAATGTGTGTATTGATTTGGCTGATTCATGATTCCCGGTATTGTGTGATTTTCCTATGTGTTGTAAATCCTGCCTTTGTGATGTTAATGAGGGAGGATGAGTGGCAGTTGTGTTAGTAAGGGAGGACTCAATCTACAAGATTGGATTGTGTTCTGAGGCAATCTCTTGAGATATAAAAGAGAGAAATGAGCAGAGAGACAAGGGGACCTCACACCACCAAGAAAGCAGTGCCGGGAGCAGAGCGCGTCCTCTGGAGAAGCTTCTAGTCTGGGGGAACATTGACGAGAAGGCCAACAGAGAGAGAAAGCCTTCCCCTGGAGCTGATGTGCTGAATCTGGACTTTCAGCTTACTTTACTGTGAAGAAATAAATTTCTCTTTGTTAAAGCCATCCACTTGTGGTATTTCTG